AAGAAATTGAATTTCAAGTCGGAGATAAAGTGTTCTTGAAAGTGTCTCCGTGGAAGAAAATATTGAGGTTTGGACGTAAAGGAAAGTTGAGTCCTCGGTTCATTGGACCTTATGAGATTACTAGGAGGGTAGGATCAGTAGCATATCAGCTAGTTTTGCCACATGAAATGGAAAAGATACACAATGTTTTTTCATGTCTCAATGCTTAGGAAATATAGATCTGATCCATCTCACGTTGTGACTACTGAAGAAATTAAGATTCGACCAGATTTAACTTATGAGGAAGAACCTGTTCAAATATTAGCTCATGAAGTCAAGCAATTAAGGAACAAGACTATTCCATTGGTTAAAGTCTTGTGGAGAAATCACAAAGTAGAGGAAGCAACATGGGAACGTGAAGAGGACATGAGGATTAAGTATCCATACCTCTTTACATAATGAAAATTCGAGGACGAATTTTCTTAAGGGGGAGAGAATTGTAACATCCTCAATACCGGGTTAGTGACTAAATTGAAAAGTTTCAAATTTTGGTGATTAAAATAGAATGAATGAATAGTATAAAGATATATATGTAAATGATTGTGTAGGATTGAATTGAAAGGAAGTAGGAATGGAAGGGCAAAAGAGTCATTGCAAGGATCAATTAATTAAACAAGGGATAAGGATATATATGAATACAAGTGGGTTGAAAAGGAGAGAACCAAAGGCTTCCAGACTTATCTTCTTCTTCTTTCTTCCTTGTACGCGTGAACCAAAACAAAGGTAAGATTTCTGATTATTGAGTTTCTTGTTAAATTTAATATTGGGGTTTTATTATTAGATGATAACTAAGCTTAAGGAAAGCTTAAGTTATCTTAACATCAAAGGATGATTGAGTTAGGAGAGATTTAAGATTTGAAGTTCTTAAATGAAATCTTGGAATAGAGTTCATAACTAGAATTGAAAGTTATATTTGACTTGTCATCAATCTAGTTAAGATATACGAAGTGTTAAAAACGGAATTCAAACATGTTGATTTATTAATGTAATTCTTGAATTACATATGAATGATAGGATTTGAAGGTTTAAGATGAAATAAATGAGTATAAATTGGTTTAAGGATGTGTACTAGAGTTAAGAATGAAAAAGGGGATTAAACATGAATGATTTAATCCAAATGAATGAACTTTCGGGTTCAAAAAGAGGATTCTGGGCAGAGTGCACCGATGCACATTCATGGTGCATCGATGCATCAAGGTTAAAACCCAGAAATTATATGAATGTGCATCGATGCATTAGTAGTGCATCGATGCACTATTTTAAAATAATAACATCGAATGTAATTCGTGCATCGATGCATAAGTAGTGCATCGATGCATCCTGTTAATAATGAAACATCGAATGCAATTGGTGCATCGATGCATAAGGAGTGCATCGATGCATCCCAACAATAATACTACATCGAATACCTTTGATGCACCGATGCATCAGTAGTGCATCGATGCATACCTTCATTAAAAGATGAAATTGACTTTTCTCTTAGTCTAAAGAGTGAACCATTAGAGTATATTAGTTATAATACTGATATACATCCATGTGTGATTATGTAGATACTAAAAGTAAGCTTATTCCGGAACGATCAAAGGATTAGAATCGAAACAAAGCAAAGCTAAGGTGAGTGCATACTAGATGTATATTATAATGGAATAAGACTTGTGATAAGTCTAATCCCTATGTTGATTTTTATAATAAAATAGTTGTGAACATGCATACATGATAATTGTTGTTATACATGCATAAGACATATATATGTTCATGTGATATGATATGTGATATGATATGTGATATGACATGTAATATGAGAACATGATATGAAGTGACATGAGCTACATGATCACAAGAGAAATGACAGAAGTATATGAACATATGAAAAATAAGAATAATGCCCATAGTATACGATATGAGAACTATAGGTGTAGTTGGCATGCCAAGAGTCGAGGGTATAATAGTCCTTCGGGATGTAGTCCTTCGGGATGTAATGGTCATACGGGACATAGATAATAGTCCTACGAGATGAATACTGAACTAAGGTTCGGTGCCCCATGAGGGAATTGATACGAGCTGTGGTGACAGCATTAGTGCACAACCTCAATGTACTCACATACCTCTATTCTCAATAATATACATGGGCAATGCAATTGAAATACCGATTTACAGAGAAAGTGATACAAGAAGGTAAGTTTCGTATGTGCATTATATGATTATATATGTTATCATGTGATAAATAAATGCACATTGAAATGTCATGATCCAATGGTAAGTATGAACATTCATAAGTTTATCGTTGCATATTCATTTATTGCCTCACTAAGTCTATGACTTAGCGTGTAAGTGATTTACACGTAGGTACCAAGAATCAGGAAGAGTGGAAATAGAAGTAGCACAAGCAGCAATACTACTAAGAGATCATATCAGAAGTAAATTGACAAAGTATGTACTTGATGATGTATAGAGTGTTGGTATGTAATAAGTGTTAATTACGAATACTCTGATCGATTTTGTATTTTATGGTCTTATGTAAATTAATGTATTTCGTTTTAATGAAAGTTTTAAAAATTCCCGGGATTTTCTGTAAGAGTTAAAGATTTGAAAAGTCAATGTGACACCTCGGACTTGTATTCGGGTCGGATATGAGTTAAGGGTGTTACATATACATTGTCATAAAATGGTAGAGATCATAAATCGAAAATAAAGTTAAAATATGACTCAATTATTAAAGATTATTATCAGTAAAAGAATATTCCTTCCTCATTGATTTAAAAAACGCGAACCAAATATAAATGAAAAATCAACATCTTTGCATAAAATAAATGCTATTTAGAAACATGCATTGCATTGTTCAACTTAAAATAAAAAGAAATAATTAACAAAATAAAATCAATTTTATTTCAAGTTCACATTTTGTTCAAATGTCGTATCGGATTACAACACTTCAATCAAGTGATGCTTTCCACATCCATTATACAAATTGTTGTTCTTAAAAATATTCAAATAATATCCCATTAATAGATAAAAATATAAAATTGACATAAATGTAATTGGAAATATATGAAATAAAATAATTACAATAAATAGAACTAATAATATTTATTTAATACAATGCAAATAACTACAATATGTAAAAAAAACTATTCATACATAAAGAACTAAAATAAAAAAAACGAACATTGCAAACCAAAATAAAATACCAAAGATAAACATTTAAAAGACCAAAATATGATTAACAGAAACTTGAAGGACTGAAAAGTGATAATAAACAACCCAGGGCCACAAACAAAAATATTAGACAATATAAGCACCATAAACGAAAATAATCCAAAAATAATGTTAAGGACTAAAATAAATTATAGCAAAAGTATGGGGAGATAATTAATAAATTTACCTAAATACATCCATACAAAATAGTGACTAAAACAAAAAAATGCATAAATCACATGGTCAGATTCGAATATTAATAAACATGGCATAATATATATATATATATATTAGTGACTAAAATATAAATTTTGAAACATAAGCATTCAAAACAAAATAATATGAACTTCATTATATGATTGAAAAGTGAAATTACAAAATCTTAGGGACCTACACTATAAATATCCCCAAAGAAATTAAAAGCACATATGAGATTACAAAGATAAGGGTCTAAGCATGCTATTTACCCATAAGCTAGTTACCATAATACAAATAAATTCCTAAAGTTAAAGGACCTATGACTAATTACACCACGATTTGGTGATTGAAACGTAAAAACACGCTAAACATACAAGGACTAAATTAAAAATAACTCTAAAAACATATAACAAACATAAAAATATAAAAATTATAAAAACAGTCCCTACAGGTGATTAACATATAAAAACACGCTAAAGTTAGGGTGAATAAACAACAATTAAACAAAAAATTATAAAACATAAACTTAAATGGTTAATTTATGAAATTGGTCCCTATAGGTGATCATTTTGCAAAAACACGTCGAATGTTGATGGATTTAAATGCAATTTCCCCTTAAGCATTTCTATAAATATCCCCTCTCTCTCTAGAAAATCGACGGGTTGTCAATTGATTATCTTCACCGGCTGTGGTGTCTTCTGCCGTTAGCCGCTATCGCATCGTTGTCGTCACCAGTGGCTGATGGCCACCAAATTACGAGAGGATTGTATCGGCCTCCCTTCTCCGATATGTGGTTGGATTCGCAAGAATCTGCCCCCAAACACCATGAATATAGCTGAAACCGTTTGACCTTCCTCTCTCCGATCCGCCGCCGCCCACTCGTCCCAGTTTTCAAATATGTTGCTTGCCTTGTCGATGTGCTGCTTCTCACTGCTCGGATCTTAGAAAAGAGGCCCCGATCGCCGGTGAAAATCCGACCGAAGGTAACCTTTCCCCTTTTCCTTTTTTTCGTTTGAATTTTTTTTGTGCTTTGTTTCATAAGAAAGAAAAGGAAAAATTTGCTCTAAAACTGTTTTTTTTAATGCTAATAAATTATCGTTTACATTGATTTTCGGTTGGGTTATATACCCAATACAAATTATATGCAAAAAAGATTAAATTTGTTTGTTGGTGGTGGTGGCGGGGTATGCTCGGGATGGCAACAGTATGGTCACTGGCACAACATGGTGACTCGAGCAGGGCATGGTAGGGGTTGTTGGTGGCAGGGTATGGTGATTGAAGAAACCCAACTGGGTTTGGATTGGGTCGGATCTCGAAGTTGGGCCTGGATCCAGATTCTAGGCTCCAGCTCGGTTCTGGTAGGTTGGGTTTCAATGTTAATATGGACTCAGGGATTTGTATTTCGAGCCTTTGGGTGGTTGTTTAGCCTGTAAAATATGTAAACAAAATAAATAATAATAATAATAATTATTATTATTAATAATATTTTTTTCGATCCGAATAAAAATAAGTGTTTGCATTATGATGAAATTGTATCCATAGCTTTGATTTTTAAACACCTGAAGTCTCTTGTATTTGATAAGCTCCTTCAACCTGTTCACAACATAAAGGTAACCATCATCGTCAATGTAACAAAGATCATCCGTCTTTAACCATCCTTCTGAATCAATTGTTGCTGCTGTCATTTCTGCGTTGTTCAGATAACCTAAAATAGCACTAGCCCCATTAATCATAACCTAAAATAGCACTAGTCCCATTAATCATCAAGAGATTTAAAAAATATAATTAATCAATTTCCAAGTCGTTAATATATTCCACAAATTAATCATAATAAAATAGTTTTAGAGTTAATTAGTGATATATAGGGGTTATATAGGAAATAAAATATTTAAAAAAAATCCTTTCGTTTACTTATTATGCATATATTTTTAGGATTGATGCATAATAAAGCCTTTGAACTTGTGAAGAAAATTTTAATTAGGTGTTTGAATTATTATGTACCTTTCATGACAGAGGGCCCCCCTTAGCCAAAGCTCGCTTTCTCATTGACATTTCACGCCGTTCCAGTTTCGGGGTCAACGATTTTGGCTTTCCAGGTTCGGCGACAACAGCCCTACACTGCCGTACTTCCGGCACTCCTCCGCCCTATGCATTGATGCCCCAAACCCCGTCGACTCTGTTAAAGCGTACCCCTGACGTATTTTAACCAATGGAAACTTCTCAAGAAGACTACTGATTAAATCCTTGCTCAGCGGAGCGCCGCCGCACAGGATTGACTGCAGCGAGCTCAAATCGTACTGCTTTCGTATCCAATCAGCTTCCTTCACCAACGTCAGGAGTATAGGTGGCTCGAGTGGGAGGCAAGTGACTCGGTACTTCTGGATTGTCGACAGCATCACGTGCATGTCGAACTTCGCTTTCGTCAGCTTCCCAATGGCGAAGGCTCCGAAGCCGTAGATATGGAACATGGGAACGGTGCAGAAATAGGTTTGCTCTCCGTCCTCTGGGAAGGTCAAGTATTGGAGAAATTGCATTAGTGCCATTAGGTTTCTGTGAGTTGATATTACCCCCTTGCTTGCACCCGTCGTACCCGACGAACAAAGTAGACTCGCCGCCTCATCCTGGTACACTCGGTCCCTGACTCCGATCCGGTCCGTTGGACCCTTCTTTATCATCTCATTAATGGTACCAACTATTTTGACTTGTCCAGTGGCTTCGGTCGTGTCGAGAAGTACAATGGGCAGGGACGATCCAGCCAGTTTCGGAACGACTTGGCCGGTGGTGAAGACGAGGACGGGTTTCGAATCGGCAATATGAAACGCGATTTCGCGGGACGTGTTTAAGGGGTTGCTGGTTGTTATAATAGCTCCGAGATGCATCACGGAGAGAGTCAAACGATGGGGAAGAAGATGGAGTTCGGTGCGATGATGGGAACGACGTTGCCTTTCCGTATTACGGAAATCGGATAAACAAGTTGAAACGGATTCAACCGCACGCCAAAGCTCGGCAAAGGAGAGGTGGCGGCCGGTAGTGGCGTCGATGAAGGCGATTTTGCCGTGGTGAGGGTAAGAGGAGATGAATGTGGATGGAAGTGGAAAGGGAGTGTGTTTGCCATAGAAAGTAGAATTGGAAGAACAAAAACCGGTTCTGTGATCGATTCTTAAGCTGCTAATTTTAGCCATGGAAATTGATTTTTGATTTTTTTTCAGTCACAGACCACCTTCATCTGCTACGTACTTGCCGTCAAGCCTTAGTATTATGTGAGAGATTAAGAGCTTTGATCTGTGCACTGTGAACAAATGATACACATTGTATGATATGCTAATTTCTTTATTAATATGTTATTTCATACTTTGTTCTCTCTGGAAATATTGGCCTTGAACAATTAAGTCTATAGTATGTATATATTATAAATTAATTAATATTTTTTAATATACACAAACTAAAAAAAATATTAAATAATATACAATTGTGAACATTATCTTAATCCAATTTGAGGAGTACAACGACCCAATGCAAACTTAAATATTAGAATAATAAATCAATGTACATTTTAATCACATAGAAATAATTATATTTGCGAATAAAAAATATAAATTAAAATAAACTCAAATCCGGAAAAAGTTTAAACCTAAGTTTGAAACCGGATAAAATCCAAACATAAAGGAACTGTAGTCTGAAAATACAGACTTGAAGAAGCTCTAACTAACCCGACCTAAATCTATCGATCATACCGAATCGACACCTCTAATCTAACTATTCCTTTCATGGTTTCCCAATATAAATAGACAATTTTCATTTCTATACAACCTGTATTATATATTTAATTCAGTAATTATTTTTAAAATTATATTTTATAAACATTATAATTATTCACTGACATTTATTATAATTATTTTTTTTATAAATTTGAAGTCAAAAGTAAGAGATTGTCCGTTTAAATTATTATTTTGGAAGTTAACTATTTATTCCCTATTTATCTAAAAATAATACTTTTGTTCGTATTTGTTATTTTGAAGACTGCCCGTTTTTTTTTTTAATTTTTTACATTTTTAATAATTTTTAAATAAAAATATTTCTGAAAATATTATGGGGTAATATTTTGATGTAACATGTGACACCGTTAAATCCCAAGGAAAATATTATTAGATTTAATAACCAAAGTTGATGAAAGAGGTTAATTGATGAAATATTGAAGTAGGGGAAATTAATTGGATGCAAAATTTTAAGTGGTTTAATTGCTTTTCCAAAATTTTAAAGGCTTTTAGAACCTTTATGATAGTTTGAGGACTAAATTATAACGAGGACTAATTTAGAATCCAAGTAATAGTATAGGGATATTTGGTGCAGTTTAAATCAAATTAATATTTATCACGTTTATTGGGCCTGGCCTTGGCATTAGGTTTCGTCAATTTTGTTTAGCCGATACGCTAAAGCCCAGTATAACGAAGAGAAACGAATCCATGATCCAGTCCAGCATATAAAAAAATCGGGCCTTCAGTTGATAAATTTCGCATCAAGCGGTTTGGGGATCGGTTTAAATCAAAGCAACCGGCGGGTTATTTTACTCCAGCTTCGCACATCTGGGACCATATCTGGTGATTTAGGGTTCGATTGCAGAGAGATGGGAGGGGGAGTACAACTTACAAAGGTGTAACTTTGCATCACCCAAAGCGATGGCATGTTGTCACCGGCAAAGGCTTGTGCGACGTCATGTGGTAATCTTTTTTGTCTCCTTTCCGTTTTTCTTTTCTTTGAATAAATCTATCTTGATATGTCACTGTTTTGCATTTATTGGATGATTCTTTTGAGCTAAGAAATGTGGGAATAGGGTGCAATTTTAATTTGCATAGCTGAATATAGAATTCATGGATGTGCCGTTAAAGTGAAATTTTAATTTATATTGAACTAGGGTTTTAGCTGAAAATTTATGCAAAAGGCTTCAATTCGGATCAAGTTAATTGATTCTCTGAGGGTTTTATGTCTTAGAATTAATCTTATTTTCCTGGTTAAGCTGTTGTTGTGCAAGCATTTTTTATTAATAATCATGGATGTTGATGGTTTAGATTTTGCTTTGAACATTTTGTTGGTATGAGTATGACATCGGAAGCGAAGTTTCTCGTAAACAGTAATAAATGTTATACTGAAATGCTGGTGGATTTTCTGAAGTTTCTTGGTATCTGGTGTGCTTCAGGTTTTGGGTCATGTACAGGGCTAAGCTAGATGGTCCTGTTGTATTGGTATGAAATTCCTTGTTTCAACTGTCTTAGTTATTGATCATTATTAACTTGCTTTCGGTCCTGGACTGACTTTGTTGCTGTTAGGGTTGGAGACACCCTTGGGAGGGCCATGATGATCATTCTTACAGTCATGGAGATACGCATTAGGTACTGTTTTTGCTTTTTATGCGACTGCATAGCATGGCTTGTTTAGTTTCAGTTTTGCATTCAAAAGGAGTTTTCCCGATGCTTGAAAGGTTTATCTTTTTTCGTCTACTATGAGGTGTTATTGAAATTTCAATGCGTTGTTACATTAAGATTTATGCCTATATATTTGTGCTTCGAGTCCATATAACTTTAAGGTTTTATGGTCTGCTATACTGGTCATGTAATTAATGTCGTTTGCATATGTATGCATAAGGGAGTAAGGATTATCGCTAATACTATAAGGGTGCGTTTGGTTCACGGAATGTAAGATTATCAGTGAGAATAAAATATTACCAGAGAATAGAATTACTGGGAATGTTGTATTTTGTGTTTGGTTGGTTTAACAGGAATGTAAGATTACCGTGTTTGGTTAAAGGAATAAAAGATTATTGGAATGTATATTTGACCAAATTGTCCTTATTATATATTTGTATAATATTACAAATTGTAAAATATTTATATGTTTTCTTTAAAAAATTAAATTCATAATATTTATATAATTTTTTTACAAAATTAAAAATATAAAAAAAGTTTAATGAAAGGGTAAATTTTTTTTTAACACCTGAACTTCATATAAAATTTTAATTATAGATTTTTTTTTTGTAAATCTAAAATAATTTAAGGATAAATTTGTAATTTAACCTTCGTAGAATTTTTATTATTCAATGACAGAAGAAGGATATTTTTGAAAATAAAAATAAAAATTTAATGGTATTTTAGTCAAAAACGTCGGTAATGTTACAATACCTAAGGGAATAGAGGTAATGACATTCCCGATAATATACCGAAAAAAATCTACTATTGGTAATAAAACATTACCGAGAATGAGATTCACGGCCAACCAAACATGGGAATATAGGATTTCCATGGAATGAGAATCCCACATTCCTTGAACCAAACACCCCTAATAGAGATGAGATAAACCGAGGATTGTCATTGTTATTATCAGGTATTCAAGTATTACCAATTTCTATGTTTTCCTATTATGTTGCTCGGTTAGGAGACCTTGGGATGTTAATATTCATCTGCTCCAACATTTAGATCGTATCTTTTGCGCCGTATATGTGTCTGTTGCCAATTATATAGTGTGCACATAGTTTGTTGTGATACTCATCCAAGTATAGGTGTAGGTAATATTATATTCATGTTTTGACACGAAAGAAACTTGATTTTCTATCGCAGTGATTATTGGCAATGTGTTTAACAGCCGCCGGAAGACGATTATCGGATTATAGGCTGCTGTTGGAGATGCTGTTCTGAGTCTTCTTGTTAATTGTTCGGTTTGAATAAAGTGTTTGTGAAGAAAGATTGTGGGGATAATGAGATAAAAAAACGAAACTCCATTTCAATCATGGTTTTTTGTTGATTTTAATCATGGATTTGTTTGAATGAATGTGTTGTTGCTTGTGCACCCCTTTGTTCAGTTGAAGCATTCTTGGTATTAGTCTACAGCATAATTGATAGTATTAATCAAGATTTTTTAAATTAAAAATTAAATATATATATATATATATATATATATATATATATCGAATGAGTAGCATGTCAACTATAGATGAGGCTAGGGATGAGTAAAATATATTGCTTTTTTTGTCTTAAATATATATATATATATATTATTAATTAAGAAAAAAAATTGAATAAATATATTTTATAATCACAATAAACAATTCAATATATATGCGCGGGCGCGCTAATTATGTTAGTTGTTAGGCTGGCAATTTACGCATACAAAAGGAAAATAAATAAATTTGATTCAGCAGCGCAGCAAGATTATTTTCGTGCCCGTGGCATGCGTGAAGAGTGAACAACCGCAGATGTTTATTTATTTATTGAGAAAATAATCTCAGTGATCGAAAATTTCTTATAATATATGATTTTGACCAACTTTTTTTCGATTTGTCAAAATGACCAACAAAATCGCAACGCGATCTCCAGTATCGCAACGCGATCTCCAGTATCGCAACGCGATCTCCAGATTCACAACGCGATTTTGACTATCGCATTGCGATTTTCCAAAATCGCAACGAGAATATGTAAATCGCAACGCGATTCTGACTATCGCAATGCGATTCTGACTGTCGCAACGCTGAATTTCAAATTCGCAACAGGTTTTAGTTTCGCAACACAAATGTTTTGGATATATAACTACGCAGCAGAAGCAACTCATAACCTAAATCGCAACTCATTCCATCTCCATCTATCACTCTCTCCGGCGACATCCGTTCATATATCCAACGACATCCTTCCCCATCCGTCAACATGTTTTAGTTTCGCAGCTCGTTTGTTTAGTAAATTAATTTACAATAATGAAATCATCTAATGTTGATCATGTTTGGATAGATTTGTGTTTTAGAGGGTCATGGGAGAATGTTCATGGTGTTTTACAATATATGTCTTTACCCATGAATCTTCAACTAAAACTGTCATTAAAAAAGTTAACTTATGAAACTCTAATGTTATATATTGCAAATAAATTAAATTTAGAGCCCTTAAGTCGATTTAGGCTATCTTATCAGAGAAAATGTAAAGTTTATTTGTTAACCGAAAATTAAGATGTTGAACGATTCATTGCTTACATTAGTGTTTCGCAAGATGATGTTACATTGTATGTTGTTGAACCTAGAAGTAGTGAAGTTGGGTCAGTAGCAGGTAGTAATCAACTAAGTTTTTCAACCCCAGTTTATGGTGCTCAAAATTTAATGGTTCTACCACAATTTCATCACCAAGCAAATTTGTTTCACCACATTTCCAATACCAAACACAATCTCAAAACCCACAACCTTTCCCTAATCCAAATCCCAATCAACTTTCAGCACCAAATTCCAGTTTTCGTATTGACCAGTTAGACGATGATGAGCCAACAGAAAAAATTGTGAGTACTAGTCAGTATTCAAAATTTGATCTTGGTCAATACCCGGACTTTGATCTTGGTCAATACTCAGATTTTGATGATGTTTCAGAAGAAGAAACAGACCATGCGTGTAATGATTTTGATATTGGTCAATACCCGAATTTTGATGATGAAACAGCCGCTGCCGAGGAAGATGTTGTTGATGATAATGAGGAGGAAGTTACGACTGTGAATGAACATGTTGAACATCCATTCTGTAATTCATATAACCCTGAAGAAGAAGAAAAAAAGAAGAAATCCCCGAAGAAAATGTCACGGGAGTATAACTGGAATATGCCAGAATTACTTCAGATACTGGAAGAAGAGTTGGTAAAGATAGCAATTGATTGTTACACAAAAATTATTCGTATCAAGAAAGATGATTGTTTTGATACAAAGGAAGACTTGAAGATAGCTTTGTATACGAAATGTGTGGAAGATGGCTATCAACTAAAAGTTAACAAATCAAGCAAAGATCGTTTCGAAACAAGGTGTATGATTGACAAAAATTATATGTGGCATATGATTGCAAAGAGGATAAAAGATTGCGAAATGTTTCAAGTTAGGACTTTTATTGATAAACATACATGTTCAAGAACCCAAGTTTTCCTTAACATAGACAGGCAAACAAAAAGGTGTTGGGTGGTTTTCTGGCTAAGTTAATATTTTTGAATGGCAGGGTATATCGGAGACATGAAATTATGACTAACATGAATGCTCGGTTCAAGATTAGTATCTCATATTTTCAAGCTTGGAGAGCCAAATGTTATGCCTTGGAATTGTTGAGGGGGTCGCCAGAAACATCGTTTGCCCAACTGCCGGCTTATTGTCACAATTTAAAGCTGAAAAATCCTGGGTCGGTAACTCATATCAAAACAGATAGAGATGGACGCTTTGAGTTGCTGTTTATCTCCATTGGTGCTGCGGTTAGTAAATCAATATAATTTTGTTGACTCATTTTTGTTAGTTACATGCATTTCACATTTAAATGATTATATTTCTTGTGTATATGATTTTTTAGATTCGTTCGTTTATTACTTGCATGCGCCCAGTTATTATAGTTGACGAAGCACATTTAAAAGGTTGATACCTTGGAGTAAACTTATTAGCAATAGTCATAGATGCTAACAATGGGATACTGCCAATAGTTTACGGGGTTGGCAAATCTGAAACCTCTGATTCATGGACATGGTTTATAGGGCATCGTAGGGATTGCATAGGTCTTATTAGCAATCTGACAATCATATCCGATAGGGCAAACTCAATTGACAATACTGTTAGAAGGTGTTTCCCAGATGCTTTTCATGGACTTTGTGGTGTTCATTTGTATAGAAATCTAAAATCAAGGTCTTCTGGTATAAAAAATCACAAATGGGCATACTGGAAGGCTGTAAAAGCTTATCGGGAAGTGGATTTTAATAAGCATATAAATTGTTTAAGACGTGTTTTACCTCAGTGTGCTCAAACACTATAAGATGTCGGGTTTGAAAGATGGTCAAGAGTACATCAACTTGGAGCAATATATGGTTTCATGACGTCTAATAGTGCAGAATCAATAAACGCTCTAAGTCGTCATTCCCGGAAATTACCCATTACTATGTTATTGGAGTTTTTTCAAGCCTCTATTCAACAGTGGTACTACAAGAAAAGAAATCATGCATGTATTATTTCTTTAAATTCGTAACTTATCATATATTTTACTAAGTATTATTTATTTAAATTTAAAGGAACATTGGAACATCGTGTTACACCATGAACTGAAAAAAAGATAACGAAACGTGTTGTGAAGTCAACGTCATGGAGAGTTGAACCATGTTCAAACACTTTGTTTGAAGTACAGGATAATAACTTAAATGGGCTTGTCGATCTAAATGCAAAGATGTGTAGTTGTATGAAATGGCAAACATCTGGTTATCCGTGTGGCCATGTTATAAAAGTTGCTCTTCATCTAAACCAAGATGATTTAAGCGCATACGCTATGGATTGTTACACTATAGAAGTATATCGACAGACTTATGCCGAGATTATCTACCCTATTCTACATCCTTCTGAGTGGGACATACCAGATGACTTACAAATAGTTTTGCCACCAGCCATGGACAGAAGGCTACCTGGCCGACCAAAAATTCACGATCGTATACCGTCTAAAGGTGAAGAGAAGAAGAGATCGACATGTAGTCGGTGCAAGGAAAGTGGTCATACAAGGTTGACATGTGGATCACCAGTGCCATCACAATCATCTTTTCCTCTACCAAAATATGGATCCTCATCAAAATCCAAAGCTCATATGGTGTCAAGAAAAAGGCAATCAAAATCGCAATCAAAATCAAAATCCAAATCACAACCGGCTTCACCTTTTGGGACTATTAACTTAGGTGATTTTTAAATGAAAACGTTGTATTATGTGTATTTTATGTGTAAACTTTTAACATTTTCAGTTAGGCATGTATTAGTAACTTGAGTTTGAACATTGTTATGATCTGTTCAGTTGTTATCACTTATTACACATTCATTTGAATATCGCAACGCGAATTTGACTATTATGTGTATTTTATGTGTAAACTTTTAACATTTTCAGTTAGGCATGTATTAGTAACTTGAGTTTGAACATTGCTATGATCTGTTCAGTTGTTATCACTTATTACACATTCATTTGAATATCGCAACGCGAATTTGACTATCGCAACTCAAAAATCGCAACGCGAATTTGACTATCGCAACGCGAATTTGACTATCACAACGCGAATTTGACTATCGCAACGTGAATTTGATTATCGCAACGGGAATTTGACTATCACAACGAGAAAATCGCAAAGCGTATTAGACTATTGCAACGCGAATTGACTTTCGAGTTGCGATTTTGGCTTTCACATTGCGATTTTAACTTTCGCATTGCGATTTTGACTTTCGCATTGCGATTTTGAGTTTAGCGTTACGAAAGTGTACCTTCAACAAGTCTTTTGCCTTCAATATGATGCATATTGAAATCAACAAATCAACTTTTACATTTCAATCAATTAAATAAGCACAAATAAGAATTATTTACACATCAATTAAACAAATCAACTTTTACAAATCAACTTTTATAAATCAATTAAACAAGCACAAATAAGAATTATTTACACATCAATTAAACAAATCAACTTTTACAAATTAATTAAACAAATCAGACTTTTAAGAATCAATTAAACAATAAAAAAATGTACCACAGACAGTTGTTTATGCACCCATACATCAATTTCACGCAGCTCACTTCAGGATTAACATGTAGAAACTAAACATTTGCTCAAACAACACTTTCTACACATCTAAAACCAACAAACATCAAATTATTATTGAATTCTAGGTACTTAACAACACTTGCATTTGACTTACAAATTGTTTATGGACACTTTCATAACGCGGATGCAGGTAGGCAGCATCTCGCATATATCGCTCTAGCCATAAAATGCCGAAACCACAAGCCTACTGTACCTCTATCTCTATCGGTGGGAGGTAGAAACTGTGTACTTCCTGTC